GTACGACCCTGGACCCTGAGTTAATCAATATGTAGGTAGTAATAGATGCGGTCACGAGTGACTTATCTCCTAGCACGCTATCATAGACTAGAACCTACAGCCATCCCGACGCTAGTTAATCAGGACCGATATACCTTCTTGAGCCTTGACTAAAGGTCATACAGGGGGGCTGGTGTATTGAATATGTTACTCTTCTCCGCCCTCCTCTCCTTATAGGCCCCCGACCTGTCAAATCACCTAGGTTATACCACTTACCACTTACTACTTACTGGAAGACTTCCTCATATCAGACTGTCCCCCGCGCGGCTTCATGCATATTCCAGCGTGAGCTGCCTTCTTACTTGTCTTCCTCAAGAACCCGAACTCGCACCCCCGGTCCGTCCCTTCCGATGTGGCTATTTCCGATAGAGAATCATTATATGCTATCTTGACAGACAGGCTAGTTAAGTGATGCAGTAGGCATCGTTACAAACTGTTGATGAAACATTCGTGTTCGGTGAAGTATCAATCTCCACTCCACATGTCTCGGCGTGTTTACGGCATAGTTTTGTAACTATGGCGAGAGCCTTTGTTGCTGGTACATATACACCAGACCAGGGTTGACTCCAAATATAAGCCACGAGGCTCCCAGGATGAGGTATATCACGCCCCCTCCTTCTACCAATATAACTTCGCATATTGTCTTCTTACGCTTTCCCTCTCCGAGGTTGCTGTCGAAAAGTTTCACATGCATACAACTACAGCGTACCTTGCTTTCATATCCTCCAGTAGATGTTCGGCATATCAATGGAGTAATCGACGGTGAAATATTGCATGGTTCGCCCCTTTTAGTTCTATATGCTTGATATATATAAGCTCAGGATTCCTGCTCAGCTTCTCATTAAACTTCATGACTCAAGTTCCATAGTACTCCTACGATCTCAACTCACCATTGTCGAATATAATATATACGATAACCTTATTCCACAAGGGGTCTATATAATCGCAGTCTTGAAGCTACTTATAGCCCGTCATTCTTGAATATTCTTGTTATTCTGAGAGTCCATCCTCTCAAAATTTGTCACGTGGGAACTTACCCCAACCTAGCTTGCGGCCAAAATCACTCGTGATCATGGAGCACATCGAAGATTCACAGTTTGATGATGGCATAGACCCTAGTGTCTCCCCGTTCGAAAGCGTCGGCAGCAATACAACGCCTGATACTGTATTCTCACCTCCTGATAGCCCAGTGTCTAAGCACGCACTCCTTGAGAATAGCCGGCTACTGGCAAGGAAGAAGTTGTCGGCGCTGACACTTGAGGAGAAGGTAAGAACAAAGTTAACAAAGTTCAGGGTCGCAGACAACCGGATACTGACGTCACTAAGGTATCCCTCCTTACTGGTGCAGACTTCTGGAGAACGAAGTCGATCCCCTCCAAAGGCATACCATCGATCAAGACGAGCGATGGTCCGAATGGTGCGCGTGGTGGCATATTTGTGGGGGGTACCAAGGTTGGTGATAAAATGAATCATCTCATCAAATAAGTAAATACTTACTAAGTCTACAAGGCTGCCCTATTCCCGTGTGGCATCTCACTAGCAGCTACCTGGAACAAAGACTTGCTTTATACCGTTGGCCAACATCTCGCCAACGAGGTGAAAGCAAGAGCAGCCAACGTACTTCTAGCACCAACCGTCTGCATGCATCGCCATCCGCTCGGAGGCAGAAATTTTGAATCATTCTCAGAAGACCCATTGCTTACTGGGAAGCTGGCTTCTCAGTATATCAAGGGGCTACAGTCGAGGGGCGTTGCTGCTACAATTAAACGTTTGCACTATACCCTACCCCCAACTAACGGGCTATTTACTTACACCCCTCAGATTTCGTGGCCAACGAGCAGGAAACGCATCGAAATACTATCGATTCGGTCGTAATGGAGCGGCCCCTTAGAGAGCTATACCTTCGACCGTTTGAGATTGCAGTGCGTGAAGCAAACCCATGGGCTATCATGTCATCATATAACCTTGTAAATGGGGTTCATGCGGATATGAACACATTCACGCTCAGGGACATTCTACGGGGCGAATGGTCTTATGACGGGTAGGTCATACAAATTTACATATATAACATTGTGGGTTGAAAACAATCTAACCAAATATCAGAACCGTCATGTCAGACTGGGGTGGGACAAATTCGACTGTGGAGTCGATCAAGGCTGGATGTGATATTGAGTTTCCCTTTTCGACAAAATGGAGGTTTGACAAGGTGCTCAAAGCTATTGAAGAAGGAAAATTGACTCAAGAAGATATCGACAGAGCTGCGGAGAATGTTTTGACCCTTGTCGAGCGTACTAAAGGTGACGATATGTCAGAGGAAGAACCGGAAAGGGAGGACAATAGGGAGGAGACCAGAGCATTAATACGCGAGGCCGGAGCTGAGGGGTTGACCTTACTGAAGAATGAAGGTGGAATTTTGCCCATCAACCCAACAACTGCTAGAGTCGCCGTCATTGGCCCGAATGCCAATCGGGCGATCGCCGGCGGTGGTGGCAGCGCCAGCCTTAACCCATACTACCGTACCCTCCCATTGGAGAGCATCAAGAAACTCGCAAAGCAGGAAGTGGCGTATGCCCAAGGCTGTCATATTTACAAATGGCTGCCAGTAGCATCTCCTTTTTGCACGGACAAATCTGGCAAGCTCGGTGTCACGCTAGAATGGTTCAGCGGCGATAAGTTCCAGGGCGACATCATCGTTACCCAGCGCAGAACGAATACGGATCTCTTCTTATGGGATTCTGCGCCCTTGGAACAACTCGGTCCTGAATGGTCTGCCATCGCCACAACTTTCCTGACGTCGACGACAACGGGGAAGCATACCATTAGCTTCATGAGCGTTGGGCCTGGTAAGCTCTACGTTGATGGAAAACTTGCACTTGACTTGTGGGACTGGACGGAGGAGGGCGAGGCTATGTTCGATGGCTCCATCGATTACATGGTCGACGTCGATATGGTGGCAGGGAAGCCTGTAGAGCTACGGGTGGAGATGACAAACGAACTTCGCCCTATCTCCAAGCAGAAGGTCTTCCATATGACACATAAATACGGAGGCTGCCGTATTGGCTTTAAAGAGGAAGATCAAGTTGATTACCTCCAACAAGCTATCGATACTGCAAGAGACGCAGATGTCGCTGTCGTTATCGTGGGTCTAGATTCAGAATGGGAATCCGAAGGCTACGATAGGCAGAATATGGACCTCCCTTCCGATGGAAGCCAAGATCGGCTAGTAGAGGCTGTCCTCAAAGCAAATCCTCGAACAGTCGTGGTCAACCAATCGGGATCCCCCGTCACCATGCCGTGGGCTGACAGAGTGCCCGCCATCATCCAGGCCTGGTACCAGGGTCAAGAGGCCGGAAACGCGCTCGCCGATGTCTTGTTCGGCTTGCGCAATCCCAGCGGCAAGCTTCCGGTGAGTACACGCCATACTAATTATTACGTTACTGTAGGCGATCCAGGCTAACAAATGCTAGTCGACCTTCCCCCGACGACTGGAAGACACACCAGCCTACCACAACTGGCCCGGTGAGAACCTACAAGTGCTCTACGGCGAAGGCCTCTTCGTCGGCTACAAGCACTACGACCGCACCCGAATCCCTCCCCTCTTCCCCTTCGGCCACGGCCTCTCGTACACGAACTTCGAATACGGGCGGCCGTCGCTCAGCCAGAAGGTCTTGACTGCTTCGGCACCGATTCACCTGGTCATGGCCGTGACCAACGTCGGACCGGTCGCCGGATCGGAAACGGTCCAGATATACGTGCGAGACGAGAAGTCGGCGCTGCCCCGCCCGGAAAAGGAGCTCGTCGCGTTCGAGAAGGTGTCCCTTGAGCCTGAGGAGACCAAGCACATCACCATCTCCCTGGATAAGTACGCGGTGGGCTACTACAACACGTCGATACCGGCGTGGGTTGCGGAAGAGGGCACGTTTACGGTTTTAGTGGGTGCTTCGGCGTTGGATATCAAGTAAGAAGCCACCCCTTTTCTTCTGTTATATTTTCCTTTTTCCTTTTCCCACTTTACCGACGACAATCGCTGACTATTACAAAGATACTCGGTGGCTTTCGAGGTCAAGGAATCCTTTACCTGGACTTTCTGATCCGATCCTCCCTGCTACGTAATGGTCGACCTTTTCTTTTTCTAGTTTTATTTATTCGCCACCTACATTATACCCATCTATTCGTCGTTCTTACTACCAGTGGATTCGATCATTCATCGTCCGCATAGGCTCACTCATTCATAATTATTATAAAAGGGGCTATTTTTCAGGATAACTAGCCGCCTCGCTCGATATTAAACTCCAAGTAGTTTATTCATTTATTAGTCCAAACAACCTGAAAGTACCTGGTTTGTTTGATTCGCGCTGCTATCTTTAGGTCACATAATGGGAGGGGAGGTGACAATCTAGGCAGAATGTGGTATTTCGCATGTTTGGTATCCCATCCCTCTTGAAGGATTCGTGGTGCGGTCTTGCTGGGGGGTTGGCGCACTCTAGTACAAGAATGTAATTATCCTCAAGAAGAGGATCTAGAGAGCTATCATGAACTGATACATTGAACTATATAGACTGAGCGCCCTCTCCCCTTTGCACGTGTAAAGATGATTGTAAAACTATGAGAAAACAACTGAATAATCAAATATTGTATTTGAATTTACTAAGCATCCTGTATAAACAAACCGGTTTTGTCTGAAAAGAAAAACCCCTTTCGAACACAGCTCCTAAAGAAAGAGCTAGGTAGAGAAAAACTGAAGCAGTTGGAGGGGCTTACAATACTGGCCCACTATGAGACCGGGGCAAGGCCAGCTGGAGCTGACCAGTAAAAATGACTTGGTCAAGCTGAAAAGGGTAAAAACGGGAAAATGGCTCACGCAGACCTACCACCATTTGCCTAGGAAACTATCGGTGTAGTCAGAGTATAGCGGAGGATAACGGGCCAGTCCATCACGAATCACAAGGATTCAAGTCATTGGTGAGATGGCCGAGTGGTTATGGCGCTGCGTTCAGGTTTACCTGGATTACAAAATTCGCAGTGGAGCAATCCGCGTGGGTTCGAGTCCCACTCTCATCATCAAACTTCATTTTTTGTACTCTTTCTGTACACCATGATACTGTTTTTTGTTTTGCTATTCCTTTTTTCTTTTTTCTTTTTTACTATACAAAAACAATTCTTGGAGAGGATGATTGTTTTTTTTTAAAGTGTGGGTAGAACGTTGTCTTGAAAATGCGAAACATTTCTTAATACTTCACTCTCTCTCATGACGTAGTTTGTTTTCCTCGTCAATAAAATACAACTCTGCTCCTACTCCAATATAGGCAAACTTCTGAGTTCTTTCGCACTGGCAATTCATGACGGACAGTCAGTCCTTAACCAACTACAAAGTCGAAACGACAATATGCGACACACTTTCTCAACCTGACTCGGCAATTGGATGCATCATCCTCCATGAGAATATTCGTCACTATGCAACATACCTACCTAAGTTAGCTGTGTGATTTCAACTGCATTGGAACAGATAGGCTTATGAGATCTCGGTCTATAAACACAGAATCTCAGCAGTATGGCATCAAAACGAGGTGCGAGCCCCGAGTTGGTTCAAAACCCCTTCATCAAGAAGCGGAATCTAGAGTGGAACTTGGACATTCCCGGCCCCGGGACCCGTGGTGCGACCGAGAGTAGTGGCGATTCCGGCTCCGGCTCTGAAGACGACGAGGGAAGTGTACCCATTTCGCCACCTGGGCGCAACAACAAAAAAGTAGATGAAGATACGAAAAATGATCCAAGTTCTACAACTACAAGAGCAGTCGCGCCCGCACCATCTCAGCCCGACCACGCAGCCCACTACACCTCGCTCCTTGCGCGGTCAACGCTCTCTCCGTTTCCCCCGGGCACGCCCCGCCTGCCCCTGGAGCAGTACCGGGCGCTCTACGAGCAGAGCTGGGAGAACCCGCGGGGCGCGCACTTCGTCGTGCACCAGCACGACCACCCGGTCGCGGGGCTGCACTACGACCTGCGGCTGCAGATCAACGGGACCAGCAGCGCGTCGTGGGCTATCACGTACGGGCTCCCCGGTGACCCTAACCCCAAGGGCGGTGCGCGGCAGAACCGGAACGCGGTCGAGACGAGGGTGCATTGCTTGTGGGTGAGTGGAAGCCGTCTTCTTCTTTCCTTTTTCTTGCCCCCTTAGATACCTACCTTCACCTTGACTTATCGATGTGTTTGACTAACCAACCCCCTTACTTCCCTCAGAACCACCTCCTCGAAACCGCCTCCCACAGCACCGGCTCCCTGCTCATCTGGGACACAGGCACATACAGCGTCCTCCCACCAGACTCCACCTCGCAGTCACCATCACCATCACCCTTGCACGACGACGACGATCCCCCCGAGCAGTCGAACCTCGCGCGCGCCTTCCGCGCGCGCAAGATCCGCCTGCGCCTGCGCGGCGCGCGGCTGCCGGACCCGTACGTGATCAACCTGCGGCTGCCTGCCGGCGCTGCCACTCCCACTCCCACTCCCACTACTACGAGACGCGCAGCTCGAGGCCGATCCACGCAGCGCGGCGACAGCAGCGAAGGCCAGGAGCAGGCGCGGGTGCGCGCCACGAACGCATATGCGGGGGCGACGAACTCGATCGGCAGCGTGCACCAGAGGCGGTGGTTTGTGTCGCTGGATCGGGCGGGGAGCGGGTTTGCGAGGAGGAAGGGGGAGGGGAAGGTGGTTTGGGAGAGGGACGGAGGGGATGGAAAGGGGGGAGGGGAAGGGGAAGAAGGGAGTCGGATGGCGTACCCGTTTTATGTGCGCGGTGTTGAGGTTGAGCGGAGTGTAGTTACGGGGCGGTTGGGGGCGGAGGTGCTGAGGGATGAGGGGGTGGTTGGGTATGTGAGTCGGAGGGGGTGGAGGGGGGTAGAGGGGTGAAGGGGAAGGGGGGAATAGAAAAGGGGGTGTATTAGAGGTTCAGCCTTTCGGATCACGACTACGGAGGTGAGTCGAAGTAAGGCTATGAGCCTAGAGAATAGCGACACGTCTCCTATTCTTGAGAGCCAGTTCGCATGCTTGCCTGTTTCCAAGTGGAAAGGAGCACATGGATAATAAGACATAAAAAATATCATTGATGCTACCTATAACCGCCTTCGTCTTGGTATCTTGCAGTTATTTATGAGTTTTTGTCCTTCATCACGAAGGGAGAAGAAAGGAAAAAGAAACCAACAAAAGGGGGGGGATCATGTATGAAGAGAATAAAAAAGAGAAAAAAAAACAACTCCATCCCGGTTTTGGGTCATGCCGTAGAATAAAAAGACACACACACATCCATACGCACATACACACACCCCTCGTCCAGACGCCATACCATCATCGCTTTCCAACGGGAAGAAAATACGCAGCCTCAATTCTCTCCCACCCGCCTCCCCCTACCCCGTGCCCTTATCCTTTCTCTTCCCTATTCCCACATACGTATCGTCGCATCGCATCGCATCGCATTCACATCACCCTTCCCTTCCATAACCCCATCAAATCGCATAAACATCAATCACGTCCCGCCTCCTCACCCATACCTCATCGGCTGCTGTCCTCCCGGTTGCGGCGGCGGACCGTCCGCGCCGTGCATCGCAGGATTCGGTTGATTCTGCATCGGCACATTATTGCCTCCTCCGCCTCCGCCCTGGGGCCCAGCGCCGCCGTTCTGCATGGCCTGGACGTCGGGGCGGTTCTCGAGGGGCTGGGCGAAGTTGCAGATATGGCAGACGACGTCCTGGTAGCCGTGGATGGAGAGGGGGAGTACGGGCTATATACATTGTCAGTTCCGTCTATTCTACTTCTTTCTAGAGAAGAGAGAGGAGGAGGGGTATGCTTACGACGAAGCAGAAGGTGAACCACGGGTTGCTCTTTATGACGTGGCCGCTGTAGTTGCCGCAGTTGTGGCACTGGCAGATGACGCCCTCGTAGCCCTGGATCTCCTTCCGGAAGGTGTGCTCGCCGCAGGTAAATATCAGACACATGGTGGGCGGGCGATCTCGTAGGTAGGTATGCTCTCGTAAACTCGTATGCCGTGCTTGGTTGCGACAATTGCTGGGTGAGGAAGCCGAGGGATAAAACAGAGGTAGGTAGTATTAGGTAGGTTAGGTAGTCGGAGAAATCTAGTTTAGATATTATACGGTGTAGGAGATGATGCTATCATTAAAGTTGAGAATTGATTAATTAGTTGAAGTTGTGGTGTTTGGGTTTGGGGTTGAATATGATGAAGTTTGAAACAAAACATGAAAAAGAATTAAATGAGGAAAATAAAAAAGTACCTACTTGTACACTATTTTTTTTGCATTGTCGGTTTAAATTAAGAGAATCCGCGTCACCGTGAGAGGCTGTGCCTATCAGCCAAGCAAGTTCTCAGCTCGGCGGCGTGATCAGCATCGAACTTATACGCCTACAGGTACCTTACGGCACCGCTGAACCGATTTGATTCCTACTAACCTACCTATGTATGCAATGTACCTCATAGGCTGCCACCAGACAACCAGTCAACCAACCTTATGTAGTGTAACCTACATTAGATTCCGTATAACCTATTCGCACTAACTACACTAGGCACAATAGTGACCTCAGCGCCCCGCAAAACCTTAATCCTATAGTACCTTAGTACTTACATACTTACTGTATCGATAAGAGCTCTATCTAATATTTAGGAATTTTTACCAGATTGACCCAACCTAGATATGTAACAGTTATCATCACCGACTACAACTACCACTACCACTTAATTACCTACCATTACTATACGACTTGATGGCCCAAATACCTTTCCTTTCCCCAATCCCATACCCAACTCGACTTGACTCGATATAGTAGTGTACACTTCTGCGTCTCTGAAAATATGCTCTACGACCTCAACATCGCCTGGTCACCCACCACCAGCCCCGACGAACTCCTACGCACCCTCCGCTTCAGCGCATCCCTCGGCTACGATGTCGTAGCCCTCAACCACACCATCTCGCCCCCCATACCACCCCAGATCTCGAACCCCATCCCCGAGTTCCCATCCTCCCCCTCCTCGCCACCCCTCCCCACCATCCTCCGCCGCGCCACCCTGCTCTTCTCCGACCCCACGCAACAGCACCGCATCCCGCAACTAGCCAGCACCTACGACCTCCTCGCGCTGCGCCCGCAGACCGAGAAAGCCTTCCAAGCCGCCTGCCTCAACATCCAGGAAGCCTCGCTCATCTCACTCGACCTCAGCGCGCGGCTGCCGTTCTACTTCCGCCCGAAGCCGTGCATGGCGGCCGTGCACCGCGGGGTGCGCTTCGAGATCTGCTACGCGGCGGTGCTCTCGCCCGCGGCCGACGCGCGCGCGCGCGCGACCTTCATCGGCAACGTGGCGCAGCTGGTGCGGGCGACGCGGGGGCGGGGGCTCGTGCTGAGCAGCGAGGCGCGGGGGGTGCTGGGGCTGCGGGCGCCGGCCGACGTGGTGAACCTGGTGCACGTGTGGGGGGTGCCGCGGGAGCGCGCGGTGGAGGGGCTGGGGGCGGCGGCGCGGGGCGTGGTTGTGAACGAGGGGATGCGGCGGACGGGGTTCCGCGGGGTGATCGATGTTGTGGGGGTAGCTGGGCGGGGAGGGGAGGGCCGCAGGAAGCGCAAGAACGGAGGGGAGGATGGGGAGAACGAGGGGGGTGCGGGTGCGAATAGCATCGTTACGGCTGCTGGCGTTGAAGGCGAACAACAGCAGCCGCCGCTGAGTAAGCGGCAGGCTAAGAAGCTCAAGGCCGCGCTGAGGAAGAAACATGTTTCGGGTGACGACGAGCAGAAACAGGCGTAAGGGGGTTCTGGGTTATGCCATGCTATGTCACTAGCCCAGCTGACTTAACCTACCCTACCCTACCCTTACCCTTATCTATAATGCCAATGACTTGGCTTCATAGCCCTTGCCTACCTATTGTCCATGGTTGTTGCAATACATGCACACGCAATCTAGAGCATTGACGACTATTCCTTTTCTCATCTTCAATCTCGCCGGCGTTTCTAAGGAGCTATGGATACGAGAAAGGAAGTAAGGGGATTGGGGGGTTGGGATAAAAAAG